TGAATTTAACGATGAATGGCTACCAGACTGTGTTTTCTTTTTCAGCTCCTGTATTGAATCTCCCAACGCTAACAACTGTTCCAACAAACGTATATCATTTTCCATCAATGAAATCTGCAATAATTTCTTTATTTTCTTTTCTGAGTCCTCCAGGATTCTGCAACTGAACAGCACTTTATTAACTGCTAGTAAAAGTCATGTTTAAAATGCCTCCTGACCATAAGGTATCAACTCATCAGTAAATTAAACTGTAATTTAGTTTTATTAGAACAATGATTAATCTATTTTTGAAAATTCAACTCTATTTGTTTACACTGTTTCAGATTTTCATTCAGTTTAATGCAACTGTTTACTGTTTAATAATTTCTTAATTCTTACAGAACTTAACTTATTTTTAGCTATTGTTTTTCCAACTAATTTTCCTTTTTTTTTTTTTTTGCACCAAATTACTTGTTGTCTACAAAACAAAAACAATTTTTAGTGTACAAAATCTTCATTGTCTTTCTATTCTTCACCTTTTTTTTTTTTTGCTTTTTACAATATTTTTGTAGCCAAACAACAACGGTGGCAACAGTAACACCGAAAAAAAGATCAGTTTTTTGTATTTTTATTTTTAACTTCCACTTCTTCTTCTTCTTCTTCTTCTTCTCTTCCTTTCTATGTTTAACATCTGCAAAAAAAAAAACGATGCTGATAATAATAACGTAGTTTTCCCCAATTTTTTTTCTTCACTTGTCAGCAAAATAACCTGTTTTTAATTAAGACTGTTGTTAATTGCGTAAAACAGAATAGGAATAGGAAGAGCAAAGAAAAAAAAAAGCAACAGCATCAGCAAAAGGAAAAAAAATTTTTTTTCTATATTTTTTTAGATGCAAAAAACCTTATGCAATTTCAGCAGATACATAGCAAAATGACAACAACAACAACAGTAATAGCAAAAAAAAAAAAAAAATAAAAGAAAACTTCTTGATGGTTTGTCAACTTCAATTTTCATCGTTTTGAATTGAAATGACACTATGCCATTCGATGTATTTATATATCTCTCTATCGGTATATATTTACTCTATGCAATGTTCAGTTTATTCTATTGAACTCTTTTATGGCAATTGTCATCACTCCTCCTTTTTTCGCACTTTACCCTCCCTCCCCCCTTCTTCTGCATATTACCAATTGTCATCTCAAATTGTCTTTAAACAAATAAAACAACAAGTAATAACAGCTAAATAAATACACTGACACCAAATATGTTCAGACACATGCAAAAATGTTGAAAAAAAAAATACAGTTTTTAACAAAGTCTCAGCTGAATTGAAAGTTAAAAACAATTTTTCAATTTGCTTTTCTAATTGTTTTAAGGATAAAATGTTTACACTCTTACACTGCTGTTGTCTACTTTTTTTCTTTTGCAATTAACTGAAACTTTTTCTGGTTCATTTTCTGCTTCAATTCCATCTTTTGTACCAATTATAACAGTTAATTTGTTTGCTGTATCATTCTGTTTGTACGTCTTTGACCAGCAATTATCTGCATTGACATCAGAAGCGACAAATAAAAAAAAAAGCATTCAAACGGCAACAGTAACGAGCACTGATCTGATTATTAGTCATGCTGATGATAAAGTAACCAGTGACACAAATGTTCATGATCAACAACTAGACTGAAAACTAACAGCCCCACTACAATTCAAACGATATTCACCTAAGAACACTAGAATGACCTTTTTTCCCCTTTGAATACAACAAAAAAGAATAAAAAAAAAA